ACTGCTGTGCTATCTTCGTGAGCTTTGTCCACCCAAATAAAGATTGATGAATGGTGGAAACGAGAGTACCATCTGGACAGAACTAGAAGACGCTGTTATATACACGTCCTCTGTGTAAGCAGCTCATTTGTACCGGCATATTTAGATGTAACTATTATTGTTTAATTCCACATTTTCCACCAGCTGATTGTTATCCTTGATCTCCGTTCTGTGGTGTCCCAGTTTTTCTCTGCATTATTTATCACAAGACCCCCGGCTGCAGCCTTTAATTGGGGTCCGCTGGGATGGCTGCAGTAGGAGCAGTTGGTGGTTGTGTTATGTTTTCATTTTATGACTTTGTTCAGCTATTTTTTATTTTAGAAGAGGGATGGAAGTGTTTCATTACACTTTCCGATGCTTCCTCCAGTAATAGCAGAACTGCTGGATGAAAGGAAATCCTATAAATGAATGAGGAAGCCCAGATCATGCAAAAGAAATTCAGAACCTTAAATCATGCTTTAAAGCCCAACTCTGAGTAAATAATAAAATATCCCTAGTAGTAGGGCTGTGCCCACACTGCAAGGGTTAATTGCTTGTTTTTGTCTAGGGCAGTGGTCGGCAAGCCGCGGCTCGCGAGCCACATGCGGCTCTTTACCCAGTCTAATGCGGCTCTTCTGTGTGCCGGGCGCCTGCTCCCCTCCCTCCTCTCGGTCGGCCGCTCCCCTGCCTCCTCTCGGTTGGCAGCCCCAAAAGTCCGCGCGGACCTTTTAATCCGGCTTGCGGATGTGGCTGTCAGGATGTGTGTAGGCGGGGCAGCGTGCCGAACGTGAGGGGAGGGGAGCTAGGCTCCTCTCACAGTCCGCCCTGAAGACCCGAACGGCACGGGAAGACAGCGAGAGGAACGCAAAAGGTAAGTGAATTGACACGGGGGACTTGGCTTACTAGAAGGGGGGGGGGGAATAGTACTGTGGGGGATGAAATACTATATGAGGGATGAATTACTTTATGAGGGATGAAATACTATATGGGGGGATGAAATACTATATGGGGGATGAATTACTATATCAGGGATGAATTACTATATGAGGGATGAAATACTATATGGGGGGATGAAATACTATATGGGGGGATGAAATACTATATGGGGGGATGAATTACTATATGAGGGATGAAATACTATATGGGGGGATGAAATACTATATGAGGGATGAAATACTATATGGGGGATGAATTACTATATGAGGGATGAATTACTGTATGAGGGATGAAATACTATATGGGGGGATGAAATACTATATGAGGGATGAAATACTATATGAGGGGATGAAATACTATATGGGGGGATGAAATACTATATGGGGGATGAAATACTATATGAGGGATGAAATACTATATGAGGGATGAAATACTATATGAGGGATGAAATACTATATGAGGGATGAATTACTATATGAGGGATGAAATACTATATGGGGGGATGAAATACTATATGGGGGGATGAAATACTATATGGGGGGATGAAATACTATATGAGGGATGAATTACTATATGAGGGATGAAATACTATATGGGGGGATGAAATACTATATGGGGGGATGAAATACTATATGAGGGATGAATTACTATATGGGGGGATGAAATACTATATGAGGGATGAATTACTATATGAGGGATGAAATACTATATGAGGGATGAAATACTATATGGGGGGATGAAATACTATATGAGGGATGAAATACTATATGGGGGGATGAAATACTATATGAGGGATGAAATACTATATGAGGGATGAATTACTATATGGGGGATGAAATACTATATGAGGGATGAAATACTATATGGGGGATGAAATACTATATGGGGGATGAAATACTATACGGGGGATGAAATACTATACGGGGGATGAAATACTATACGAGGGATGAAATACTATACGGGGGATGAATTGCTATGGGGGATGAATTACTATATGGGGGATGAATTACTATGGGGGATGAATTACTATATGGAGGATGAATTACTATATGGGGGATGAATTACTATATGGGGGATGAATTACTATGGGGGATGAATTACACTATGGGGGATGAATTACACTATGGGGGATGAATTACTATATGGGGGATGAATTACTATGGGGGATGAATTACTATATGGGAGATGTATTTTCAGTTTTAAAAATGTGGCTCTCAAAATAAATTTCAATCATGGTTTTGGCGAGATTTGGCTCAGTTGAAAAAAAAGGTTGCCCACCACTGGTCTAGGGGAACAATAAAGAGAGACATACTTACCTGATTCTCCGCCCCTCCCCGCAGCTAGACCAGTGCTCGCAGCTTCTGCACCCCAGCATTCTAGTAGTCTAGGGTCCTGACATCATCAAGACCGGAGCAAGGTTCATAGCCCTGTTCTGTTTATGATGATGCCAAGGGACAGTCCACCACTGAATAGTGGGGGAGCACTGCCTGCCAGGGGAGCAGAGGATCAGGTAAGTAAAACTGTTTTTCCTTTCCCCTAGATAAAACGAGCCATTAAGCATTTATAACTTGTTTCATCTGCCCTGAGATGGGCTTTAAAAAAAATGTTTAATTTTTTAACAGTTTTTTTTTTTTTAATTTACTGTAGACCAGGGGTAGGCAACCTTAGATCTACCTAAACAACATGGAGGAAATTAAATATCCTCAGGGGAAGGGGGAGGGCGCCCTTTAAAAAGAATAACTATCAAGACCCCAATAAAAACACAGCATAGTGTCCTGTGCCCCCCACCCCTAGTGTCCTCTGCTGCCCTTCACCTCATCTCCTTCACATGGAGTTCTCTGCCCCCCCCACAGTGGTTTCCCCCCCTCACATGCCCCCTATACAGTAGTGTCCCCTTCCTTCCCATAGCAGTGTCCTCTGCGCCCCTCCACCCCACAATAGGGTCTTCTGCCCCTCCCACTATAGCAGTGTCCTGTGCCCCCTTCCCCCAAAGCAGTGTCCTCTGTTCCCTTCACATCACAATTCCCCCCCCTTGTAGTGTCCTCTTTACCCCCATAGCAGTGTCCTGTGCCCCCTTCCCTCAAAGCAGTGTCCTCTGTTCCCTTCACACACCCACTGTAATGTCCTCTACCCCCCCCCCATAGCAGTGTCTTCTGTCCCCTTTACACACCCCTTCACTGTAGTGTCCTCTGCACCTCCCCATAGCAGTTTCCTCTGTCCCCTTTACATCCCCCACTGTAGGGTCCTCTGCCCCCCAAGCTGTTTTCTTTTGCTCCCTTTGCACACCCCCACTGTTATGCCCCCTGTCCCACCCCCCGAAGCAATGTCCCATTGTCCCCGTCAACCCCCGCCCTCACTGTAGTGTCCTCTGCAAAGCCCAATGCAATGTCCTTTGTCCCCTGCACACACCCTTCCCCCCCACTGTGGTGTCCTCTGCCCCCTCCCCAATATAATGTTCCCTGTCCCCTACATAACCCCCCCCACTGTAGTGTCCTATGTCTCCTTTACACCAGTGTGTAGATAGCACTCTCCTACCTTTCACTGGTGTTCAGCACAGCGGAGAGCAGCAATATGGCCGTACTGGATAGAGGGTAGTGGTAGGAGCTGCCAGAGTTAACTTTTTACATTAGCAAGCTGGTGATTGGTTGCTAGGCCTGCCCAGCAACCAATCACCTGCTGGTTAATGTGAAAGTTAACTCCAGTAGCTCCCACCCCTACCCACTATACAGTACTGTGACTTGTTTTTGTTGTTTCATATGAATGATGTCATGTGATGTGATAGTAGGTCCATGGGGAAATGTATTTTCAAAATCGATAATTTGGAAAACAAATGGATCTGAATTTCATTCTATTCAATAATTTGGATGCACATGATGCCAGTCAATGTTGTCCAATCAGCTCGTGCCATTTCTCTTGGTGTGTTAGCATCCAAAAATATTAAATCCTTCCGATTCGAATTCTGATTCGGTATATCGAATATATAGCAATCTTCCGGAAAAACTGCTAAATTTTTCTAATCCACCTGGACCAACGAATATACAAAACGAATGCCAAAGATATTAAATAAATTTCAAAAATGAACTGGGTCAACATAACAAATATGATGAAAACTAAATTCTTCAATTAACAAATGCATCCGAAACTAAACAGAAATGTCCGGTGTGCACAGGTCAAGTCTTGTCCAACTTGACTCTAAATCAGTGGCATCCCTAGGCAGGTCCGGGGGTTGCGTGCCGCACCGGGAGACACCTACCTCACGGGGTGACACCGGACCCGCTCCATGAAAAGGTAAGTTGTAAAGCAAGCCGACGATCCCCGCAGGATGGATCGGATCTGCTGATTGAGAATAATGGATCAAAGTCGGATCCATTATGCTCAATCCGCAGATCCAATCCATTCTGCGGGTATCGTTGGAGGGGGTGTCACCAAGTGTTATTGCACCAGGTGACACCAACCCTAGGGACGTCCCTGCTCTAAATCCTCTTTTGATTAAATGGGCAAAAACACAGGCACACTCCATAATCTTGTAAGAAACCTTCCTAGAAGAGGGGAGGCTGTTATAGACACAAAAAATAACCAACGCTATATTAATGGCTATGGCTTTGGAATGGAATGTCCATCAATCTCATATAGGTGTGATGGTCAGTAATCCACATACTTTTGGTCATACATTGTATTTTGTTTATTATATGCAGGGCTAAAAAGTTGTATTTTTATTTCTATTTAGTCAAATATGAAATATTGCACCTATTCATATTTATCACTCACAACCTGCTGCTGTTATGTTCAAAGATGGAGCACCATGTTTTTGCCGTGTTTTTGTATAGTTGTTAAAGTATATGTGAACCCATTCAGTTTAAAATAGAGATGAAAAGTAAACCGTTTGTGTCCATATACAGTTGTGTCCAAAATTATTCAACCCCCAATGCTGTAAAGGGGTTTAGGGACTATAGTGTACATTTGGAATTGTATTCAGAATCAAATCCTACAAGGACGTTGTAACTACCCAAATGCAACTAAAATGACATCAATTGTTTATGTAATACAGTAGTAAATGGTTCTTATGTGGTTTCTTCATTGCCACAATTATTCAACCCCTTAAAGACTACCACTCTGAAGAACAGAGGTTCATACAGGTGCTTTCCATCAGGTATTGAAAACACCTGTGGATGTCACCGAGCAGCAAATCAAGCATAATAAGCACCAATTAGGCAGCTTTAAAATGACTGTGATACTCAGCTCCTTCTAGACATTTACTGGTGTGGTTACAAACATGGTGAAGGCAAGAGAATGGTCCAGGAAGACAAGAGAAGAGGTGATTTCTCTTCACAGGAAGGGCATGGCTATAAGAAGATTGCAAAGATGTTAAACATACCAAGAGACACCTTAGGAAGCATCATTCGCAAATTCAAGGCAAAGGGCACTGTTGAAACGCTACCTGGTCGTGGCAGAAAGAAGATGCTGACTTCGACTGCTGTGCGCTACCTGAAGCGTAGAGTGGAGAGAAGTCCCCGTGTGACTGCTGAGGAACTGAGAAAAGATTTGTCAGATGTGGGTACAGAAGTTTTCAGCCCAGACAATAAGACGCACACTGCGTAATGAAGGCCTCCGTGCCAGAACTCCCAGGCGTACCCCCTTGCTGTCTCCAAAGAATAAGAAGAGTCGACTGCAGTATGCCAAAAGCCATGTGGACAAACCACAAAAGTTGTGGGATAGTGTTCTGTGGACTGATGAAACAAAATTAGAACTGTTTGGGCCCATGGATCAACGCTATGTTTGGAGGAGAAGAACAAGGCCTATGATGAAAAGAACACCTTGCCTACTGTGAAGCATGGTGGAGGGTCAATCATGCTTTGGGGCTGTTTTGCTTCTGCAGGTACAGGGAAGCTTCAGCGTGTGCAAGGTACCATGAATTCTCTTCAGTACCAGGAGATATTGGATGGAAACGTGATGCAGTCCGTCACACACCTGAGGCTTGGGAGACGTTGGACCTTTCAACAGGACAATGATCCCAAGCATACCTCCAAGTCCACTAGAGCATGGTTGCAGAGGAAAGGCTGGAACATTTTGGAGTGGCCATCGCAGTCACCAGACTTAAATCCGATTGAGAACCTCTGGTGGGACTTAAAGAAAGCAGTTGCAGTGCGCAAGCCTAAGAATGTGACTGAACTGGAGGCCTTTGCCCATGAAGAATGGGCGAAGATACCCGTAGATCGCTGCAAGACACTTGTGTCAAGCTATGCTTCACGTTTAAAAGCTGTTATAACTGTAAAAGGATGCTGTACTAAGTACTAAGATTGAATGTCACTTGGGGGTTGAATAAAACTGATAATGCTGTGAGCACAGAAAAGACATTTGTGGTTATTTCATTATAACTGTTATGTTATATTTGTCTGACCTACAAGTGCCTCTTTAATGTAAATGTAAGCAAGATGACTGAATGATCAAAAGCAATGTCAAACTGGCCAAAACACTCAATTTCAGTGGGGGTTGAATAATTTTGGACACAACTGTACACACAATATGCCCTCCTGAGGATTTACCCCTCTTCTTGACCAGGCCATTTTTTGCATTACGGCACTGCGTTACTTTAATTGTCAATTGCGCGGTCATGCAATGCTGCACCCAAATTAAATTTATGTCCTTTTTTTTCCCAGATATTGAGCTTTCTTTTGGTTTTATTTTATTGCCTGTGTGTTTTTTATTTTTTTGCACTATTAAAAAAAAAGGACTGACAATTTTGAAAAAAAAAAAACAATATTTTTGACTTTTTGCTATTAAACATGTATACTAACAAATGTAAAAAATCTAATTTCCTCATAAATTTAGGCCAAAATGTATTCTGCTCCATGTCTTTGCTAAAAAAAATTCCCAATATGTGTAAATTAATTGGTTTACGTGAAAGTTACTAGTAATGGCGGCGATCAGCGACTTATAGCGGGACTGTGGTGGACATTCTGACACTGGGGGGGGGGGGGGACTGACTTGGTGTCACTGACATCCCCAGTGACACCAATGCAGTGATCAGTGCTAAAAAAAAGCACTGACACTGTACTAATGGCGCTGGGCAGGAAGGTGTTAGCATGTGGGGCGATCAAAGGGTTAACTGTGTGCTGTGTGCTGTTTCACAGTAAGCTCTGTGAGTGTGCGTCACTGTAATCACACTGTGCACAGCCATCCAAAGCAATATGCATGGGCTGACAGGGAGGAGAACAGTATTGTTTACATACAGTCAGGGGCGGACTGACAACTCATGGGGCCCCCGGGCAATAGGGGATCATGGGGTTCTGTGTCCTTGCCCAAACTCAAAAAAGCCTATGAAAAAGGTACCAGGGACATCTCATGGGGCCTCCTACTGACCCCGGGCCCACGGGCAGTGCTCGAGTTTCCAAATGGTCAGTCCGCCCCTGCATACAGTTCTCCTCCCCATCGGAGATCCTCGGCAATCACTGGGTGCCGGTGAGTAATCACTGGCCAGGACCCAGTGATTGACAGCCACGGCTGCGAATGGCAGAGCGGGTCCCCTACCCGGGAATGCAAAATCATGTTCTGTATATATACAGCTTATAAAGCGTCAATTATGAAGATTTTTTAAGTACTGTAATTTGACACTGTTCCATGAGCATGTGGAATTTTAAATCTAGACATGTTAGGTATCTCTATTTTCTCGGCATAACATAATCTTTTATAGTGTACCAAACAATTGGATATTATATTGTGTTTTTGTGCATTAAAAATTCACTAAAGTGTATTTAAAAAAAAAAACAGATGTGTTTGAAAAACTGCTCCGCAAATGCTGTGTGACATAAAAAAATTCCAACACTCACCATTTTATTCTCTAGGGCCTCTGCTTAAAAAATAACGATTTCTAAGTAATTTTCTAGCAAAAAAAGCAGATTTTTACACTTATGTGGGAAGTGTCAGAATAGGCCTGGTTGTCAAGTGAATTGTTTTTTTTTAGCACACATGTGTATTACATTATATTTTGGCCTAAAGATTACTTAAAATCCAAAAAAAAGATTTTCAAATGTTTATGTCACATGATATTAGCGCAAGTGTTTATCAAGAGCAAACGTTCAGTAAAAAATGCACAAAATTTAATTTTAGTGCACACAAACACAATATATTTGTATATTGCCTTTTAATGCAAGCAGCTTTTTAATTTTTTTATTTATGATTTTTAAAAATGTATTTTGTGTATTAATCTAAGCTCAGGTTTGATTTTTTCTAAAACACAATATATTACCCAATTGTAATATATAAAAGATGAGGTTGCACCAAGTAAATAGATACCAAACATGTCAAGCCTGATACCAAACATGTCAAGCCTGAAAACTGCAAACTTGCGAAATGGCAACAACTTTCAGTATCCTGAATGTTTCATAGGTGAGGCTTTTAAAGTCCTTAAAGGTCATCATTTTACAGTTAATTGTGAATAATGGGCCTACAATTATTGTTCTCACTCTGGCATGTGTGGTGATATGTAACAATGTTTTCAAACGTAGGCACTTCGAACATAGGTGTTTACATTCATATGTGTGTATAAATGGGAGTGGGGGCTCAACATTTTTTTGGGGGTGGGAGAGTTTAAGTGCTTGGATGTAATTTTATTTTTAAAATATTTCTTTACTACACTTTTTTTATCATACAGGGCACCAACAGCCCCCCTTATGATACTATTTTGCTGTGACATGTTCTCTTTAATGAGACATCAGGTCTGCTTCTCCTTTCACTGTCCAGTTGTTGGCTAGCGGCAGGTCCAGGACAAATTAGCTCAAAGGAAGTGGCTTGAATGAAGCTGGTTATTAGATTGAAGACATCTAAAAAAATACTGCCGGGGAAATGAAATCTCTGGATTGAAGATAAATATTGCAGCACTGTTAATGGGCTATTCATTTTGATCTTGTTTTTTTGTGGATGAAGTTCTGCTTTAAACATTCTCTTAGGTCATTTAATGATACTATTCTATGGTGCTTTCTTTCTCCACTTGTGCAGAGAGCTAGCTGCACACTGGAACAAAAATGCAAACCCTGGCCCATACCTGTTACTTTTTGTGTTTTCTAGGCAGGGCTGCTGTTAGAAACCACAGGGACCCATACAGCCAACCTAACATCCCCCCCCCAAAAAAAACAAACAAACAGTTTACTATGCTTCAGTTATGAACGAACACAGTGACTGATCGGTGTCAATCTCTTATTGTGTTCATTCAGGAAAGAAAATGTGAGATATTTACCAGAACTTCCCCCCACTCTCCATCCTGCAGGATCAGATTGTGTGCTTGCAGCTGCCAGTGGGAAGAAGAGAGAAGCTGGCAGCACTGCAGGGGTGGGGGCACACAGGGGGGCTAGTCAGCAGGGGGAAACGTATGGTGCACAAGGAAAGTGATGGGTACGGGGGGAGGGGCAATTACCAGAACCAGTCCCCTGTATGGCTTTCTCTTTCATCTGCTGCAGAAATGGGATTGGTTCCAGTAATTGCCCCCTCTCCAAGCTGATCACCCTCCTTGCCCACATCCAATTCACCCATCTGTATGGACTGGGCCCGTACAGGAGGACTGGTGGTACCCCCTTATCCATGGCCCTGTTTCTAGATTGTGTATGTTCCACAATTTGTAATGTGATTACACTTGTACCTATTTTAAATGGAAATAATGCTTCTAACAGAGAAGAAACAAATGTTTTAAATTCTCGATTTCCATTCTTGCAGCAAGCGGAAGCTTTCATCTCTTAATGCATGCATAGGTACGCTGTGTATTAGAAATGTTTTTTTAGTTAACAGAAAATGAGCATTGATAAGCGGAGGTAAAATACAATACATGAGATTAGTTCTTTTCAGGTTCCTTTTATAGTGCAGTGATTTGTATCTGCCTTGTTATTATCTGCCATTATTTGCATGAAGTCATTGTACAACAATGAACTTAGATATGGGTACATTTTCTGTTACCTGAGAATAAGTGTGAAACATGTTGTGTTCAAATGGAATCTATTGGCTGCTCACAACTTAAAGTGACAGAAAAAAATTGTTAAATTCACAAAACTCATAAAAGTCAAAAACTTCATAAGTCATATAACTCATAAAAGTCCTTTCTATTGCTCTCAGCCTGCTCTAAATCTCTAAATTCCAAATTGTTTTCTGAAGGGATTTGACTTTGGCTTGAGGGTGGCTACGTTCATTCTCCACTGTCCCACTGTATGTAGGAACATAGCCAATCTCTCTTGCTTGCTCCTGAGATGGACTATAGACTATGTGATTTGTATTGCGCATAGAGCAGTGCACATGACAGCAAATACCATGCACTGCTCGTTCCAAAGAGGGGTTCGAGAGCTCATGGAGGATGTTACCAAGAGGCAGAGAAATAGTAAGAAACAATTTCATGAAACATAAACTACATGGTCATTAAAGTGGTTCTAAAGGCTCATTAACCACTTGCCTACTGGACACTTATACCCCCTTCCTGCCCAGGCCAATATTCAGCTTTCAGCGCTGTCACACTTTAAATGACAATTGCAACATTGTACCCACAAGAAACATTTATTATTTTTTTCAAACAAATAGAGTTTTCTTTTGGTGGTATTTACTCGCTGCTGGGTGTTTGATTTTTTGCGCTATAAACAAAAAAAGAGCAAAAAAAATAAATTTTTCTTTGTTTCTATTATAAAATTTTGCAAACAGGTAATTTTTCTACTTCACTGATGTGCGTTGATGAGGCTGCACTGATGGGCACTGATAGATGGCACTGATGGGCACAGATAGGCAGAACTGATGAGGTGGCACAGATAGGCGGCACTGATGGGCACCTATAGGCAGCACTGATAGGCGGCACTAATGGGCACTGATAGGTGGCACTGATAGGCAGCACTGATATGATGGCACTGACTGACGGCACTGATTGGCGGCACTGCTGGGCACTGATAGGTGGCGCTGCTGGGCAGCACTCATGGATGGCACTGCTGGCCTGCACTGATGGGTACTGGTGGGTGGCATTGGTGGGCACTGCTGAGCACAGGTGGGTGGCACTGCTGGGCACTGATGGGCACAGATGGGTGGCACTTCTGGGCACTTGTGGGTGGCACTACTGGGCACTTGTGGGTGGCACTGCTGGGCACCAATCATCAGGACACTGATCATCAGTGCCCCGATGATCGGTGCTGATCCATCCTCTGATAACTGCCGGTTCTCTGCAGTACTTTCCTCACACTGTGACAGTGTGGGGAAAGTGCAGCCGATAACCGGCAATTGTATTTCACGGTGATCGGTCTGTTATTGGACACGGCTGATCACGTGCTAAAAGGCCGCTGCGATTGGTCTTTTACCACATCACGTGTCAGCGGTGTCTATAGGATCTTGGGGGTGCGCAGGAGAGCTCATTCTGGGAGGACGTCATATGACGTCAACCCACAACTGGCTGGCCGTCATTCGGCTATCTGCGGTTGGCAAGTGGTTAAAGTGGTTCTAAAAAACTTTCTGTGTGCAGCACCCTCCCCCAGCCCTCCCCTAATGCTCACCTAAGCTCCCTCTCAATCCAACAATGTACACTGGAGTCTCGGATATCCCAGGACTCCTTCTTCTCATTGGCTGAGACAGTAGCAGAAGCCATTGGCTCCCACTGCTGTTAATCACAGCCAGTCAGCCAATGAGAAGAGAGAGGGGGTGGAGCCAAGCCGCAGCTCTGTGTGTGAATGAACACACGGAGCAGTGGGTGCCCAAAGATCAAGCTGCTTGCTGTGGGGGCACCTAACAGGATGAGGACCCGAGAAGAGGAGGATCCGGGCTGCTCTAGGCAAAACCACTGCACACAGCAGGTAAGTATAGACATGTTTGTTATTTTTTTCTATAAAAAAAAAGAAATAAGCCTTTAGAATCACTTTAAGTGTAAGGATGTGTATGGATTATTTTTGGAGAATAAGGATATCATTTATTGCCACTTTAACCACTTCCTGGCCACCCTATAGCACAAAATCACATGTATATACGCGAGTCTGCACTGCTGGGTAGGGGGCACACGTGCGCTGTCCTATCTGCGCTGTCATTGGCTCCTGTAGGTGTAAATCACCAGGCCAGGGATCCAGCTCCACCAAGTGTAACTAGGGGGGTACGTCAGAGATAGAAGTTAGCATGTGCCCTAGTAAAACAGTACACAATACAGTCTAATCACTCCCCAACACACAGTTAACCCTTTGATTGCCCCCAGATGTTAACCCCTTCCTGCACAGTGTCATTAGTACAGTGTCAGTGCTTTTTATTAGCACTGATCACTATATTAGTGTCATTGGGATGTCAGTGGCAGTTAGCCAGTTCCCACCTAGTGTCAGTTAGTGTCAGAATGCCCGCCGTACTATCCCGCAACAACAATCCCGTACAGTCCCGCTATAAATCGCTGATTGCCGCCATTACTAGTATAAATAAATAAATAAATACAAGTTCCAGTATGTATACTGCCATTTCTACACGCTATAACTTTCAAAGTAATTACTAAACACTTATTGGGATTTTTTTTTACCAAAGACATGTAGCAGAATACATTTTGGCCTAAATATATGAAGAAA